AGTGTAGTAGGATTTTAAGTCAGGGAGTGAGATGCCTCCTACCGTTTTTCTATTTTTAAGGAGTGCTTTGCTTATTCGTGGCTTCTTTCCATTCCAAATGAAGCTGGAGATTGCCTTTTCCATCTCATTGAAGAATGAAATTGGTATTTGTATTGGGATTGCATTTTGGTTAGGTCTTTTGGGGCCTCAGCCAAGAGGTGAGCCAAGATGCAGGGCCAGTGAGTTAAGCACAGATGGAAATAATTATTCTTTTAAATGTACTGAATTCACCATAGAAGGCGCCTAACTATAATATGAACACTAGACAAGAACATTAAAACACACTTAGAGAGAACTTTCTCAGATATATTTTCTAATCAGTATAATTAAAAAACATAAAACTAAGGTAGAAAAGAGGAAGAAACAAGCTGCTGACAATATCAACCACTGAGATACTGCCATATGTGTTCTCAGTTAAAAAATGAGGTTGCTCTAATCATATGAAAGATGCACATTATAATGGAAGAAAGACTGTTGTTACCTTCACTGAAGCCATACATATACCTTCCTTTCCAAAACGCTGCACAGTAAGTAAAAGATTTAATATTAAATACACTTGAACATTTTCAAATATAAATGAATCATGCCTAATAACTGGACATTAAAAAACAGAAATACTTTATCAGGGTGATCAAAAGAAAATAAAATGAAGCCTCAAACTACAATAATGACAGATAATATAGGCAAAATTGTGAATGAAGCAGAAAGCATCAAAGGATTTTGGAAAGAATACACAAAGCCACTATACCAAAAAGAACTGGTAAACAATGAACTATTTCAGGAGGCAGTATATTATCAAGAAGCAAGAGAAATGGAAGAAGTCCAAGCTGGATCAAAGGCACTGGCAAAAAATAAGGTCCATGGAATTGATGGGATACCAACTGTACTGCCTTAGGAAACAGATCTCTGCAAAGAAATTTGAAAGACATATACTTGACCAAACAACTGGAAGAGACTCATTATTTGTTCCATTTATAAAAAAAAAAGTGATGGAACAGAATGCAGAAATTACCTAACAATATCATTAATATCACACACAAGTAAAATCTTGCTGAAGATAATTAAAAACAAATGGAGTGTACATTGACAGAAAACTGCCAGAAATTCAAGCTGGACTTAGAAGAGGTCATGAAACAAGAGATACCACTACTGATATCAGATGGATCTTGGCTGAAAGCAAAGAATGCCAAGGGGGGGGAAATGTTTATTTATGTTTTACGGACTATGCAAAGGCATTCTACTGAGTGTATGATAATAAATTACAGATAACACTGTGAAGAATGGGAATTCTAAGAATATCTACTTGAGCTCATAAGAAATTTGTACACAGATTAAAAAGCTGTTATCCAAACAGAACAAGGGAACATTATTATGTGGCTTAAGATTAGTAAAGGTTTATGTCAGGGTTACATCCTTTCTCCATACCTATTCAATCTATATGCTGAAAAAAATCATTTGAGAAGCTCGGCTATATGGGGGGGAAAAGTGGCATTTTGGATTGGTGGAAGAATCATCAACAACCACCATTATGTAGATGACAGAACCTTGCTTGTAGAAAGTGAAAAGAATCAAAGGCTTCAGGAATCAAAGACTACAGCCTTTGATTACACATTACTATCAAGAAAACAAAAATCCTCACAACTGGACCAATAGGCAACATCATGACAGACAGATAAAAGAATGAAATTGTCATGCACATCCATGTTTATCGCGGCTTTGTTCACAAAAGCAAAGAGCTGGAAACAACCCAAGTGCCCACCAACAAACGAATGGATAGAG